GTTCTCCAGCAGAACCTCCGTCACACGGTCACGTTCAGGGATGTTAATGCGGCTGAGCTAAACAGAGAGAGCAGAAATAACGGAGCTGACATTTTTCACTTCTTCATTTCACTTAATCACATCATCTACAGACACACGGCTCGCTTGGTACCAGGTTTTTTTATGATTATTTATATTTATTATGTTTCTGCAACCTCTGAATATTACATACAGATGATTCTTCCTAATCCTAAAAACCCTTTTGCTCTGAGTGACTCTAAACCTTAATTACGATTATTTTATTAAAACTAATGATTAAACATTCCAAAACAATCATGACTCCACCGAAACTTTACCAAATGTGTCAGTAGTGTCTGTGTCAGTAGTGTCTGTTTCAGTAGTGTCTGTGTCAGTAGTGTCTGTGTCAGTAGTGACTGATTCAGCAGTGTCTGTTTCAGTAGTGACTGATTCAGTAGTGTCTGTTTCAGTAGTGACTGTTTCAGTAGTGACTGTTTCAGTAGTGACTGTCTCAGTAGTGTCTGTTTCAGTAGTGACTGTTTCAGTAGTGACTGATTCAGTAGTGTCTGTTTCAGTAGTGACTGTTTCAGTAGTGACTGTTTCAGTAGTGACTGTTTCAGTAGTGACTGTCTCAGTAGTGTCTGTTTCAGTAGTGACTGTTTCAGTAGTGACTGATTCAGTAGTGTCTGTTTCAGTAGTGACTGTTTCAGTAGTGACTGTTTCAGTGATGATTTTAGCTCATTCTGAGCTCAGAAACTCAGCAGTTCAGACCAGCAAACACAGCTCTGAACAGCTGTTCACACAGAAAATCATCATATTTTACATTAAAACACTAAAAAGTGCTGAACTGCAGAAAATCTGCCGATTCTTAATGTTCCACACTGATTTTCAGACTTTGGGACTCATTTACTTCAAAACAGTGGGATCTACCTGCTCACCATGTGGCCATGAGGGACAGGGATGCAGCCTCACTACCTGCTCTGAAATGCAGGGGTGTGGCTTTTTTGTTTCATTTAAAATTGTCATGATAAATCTAAATCACATTCTCTTTAAAACAAATCAAAAAGATGAAAAGACGCAAAAAAATCAAGTATTATTTTCAGAAGTGTAAATTTAGGAGTTAGAGTTTGGGACAGACTAGTTCCAATAGGAAGTACTCTATGAATGATGATTTTGTCAAATTTAGCTTATTACTATCTCTATTAATGCTTATTAAAGCAAATGATCACTATTTTGAGGATTCCAACAATTTGGATATGGGTTAGGGTTTGCTTTAATAATCCTCAGTTTTAGACCAGAAACAGACTCAGCACAAGAACACAAACGCGAATGACCGCGTTCGGCCAATGCACTGCAGACGCTCAGCCAATGCGCTGCAGACGCTCGGCCAAAGCTATGCAGACGCTCGGCCAACTTGCTGCAGATGCTCAGCCAATGCACTGCAGACACTGGGCCAACATGCTGCAGACGCTGGGCCAACACGCTGTGGAAGCTGGGCCAACGCACTGCAGATGCTGGGCCAACACGCCGCAGATGCTCGACCAACGCACTGCAGATGCTGGGCCAAGATGCCGCAGATGCTCGGCCAACACGCTGCAGACGCTGGGCCAACACGCTGCGGAAGCTGGGCCAACGCACTGCAGATGCTGGGCCAACACGCCGCAGATGCTCGGCCAACACGCTGCGGACGCTCAGCCAACGCGCTGCAGATGCTGGGCCAACACGCCGCAGATGCTCGGCCAACACGCTGCGGACGCTCAGCCAACGCGCTGCAGACGCTCAGCCAACGCACTGCAGACGCTGGGCCAACACGCTGCAGACGCTGGGCCAACACGCTACAGACGTTCGGTCAAAGCGCTGCAGACGCTCGGCCTTTCTGTACAAATTCACCATGCACTCTTCCGTTACTGTGGCGGTTAAAACACTCAGTACTGAAGGGGGCGCTAGAGGACAAATCGGAGAGGATCTACTGTTATTCCAGCAGCCTCAGCAGCTAAACGTGGACAGTAGAGGACAGTGAGCCGCTTCAGCTCTTCTGCTGGAATGAAAAGTCATAATGTATCATATTTTTATGATTATGTAAGTCATCTTTGCGTGAGACTCAGCTGCTCGTCTGCGCTGGCAGTTGAGAAAACACACTGGCGGTACAAGACCACTCAGAATGCAGCTCGCGCTTACGTTGCGTTATGAAATGCGTTGTGACACATTTTTGAATGCAACTACGCGCGACACCCTGTCTGCCCAGCTCGAAGTGTCTGCGTTTACGTCCTTGCGTGAGGTATGTTCGGGCCTTTTTTTTTAATTTCGGGCCATTTTTATATTAAAAGTGAAGACAATGCCAATTATGAAAGAGCTTGTTTCCAGCAGGTGTCGCCATTTCACACCTTTGATAAATGGTGCAGTGTGGTTCACATTACATGATCTCTCTATGTGCATGCTGAACATATTAATATTACAGCAAATTATGACAATTTCTATTTCAAATTCTGTATACAAAAGCTGCAGGAAGCATAAAGTTCCCTTCAGCTGGACAGTATTTAGTGTGTTTAGGAGAAACGACTGTGTTAATTGTGGAAACTGTAATCTGCACAGCTGCTTGTAGATAATTAATCCTAACTGGAAAGCTAATTACTGCTGCACTTCCAAGTGTCCATCACTGTCCTTGAAGTGAGACACTGACAGCGTAATCATGCACACATGCACAACATGCAAAAACCCTTAAATTGCAGGTTTGGAAAAAACACAGCATAACTAAAGCATAACTAAAGACGAAGTTCGGCTGATGTTTATTTACAATTATAAAGAAATTAAATAATCAGGCTTTGGTTTGATCACTGATCTGTAGAAGGTTCCTGAACAATCATTCTATCGTATCAGGTTTAAGTATTAATGATGTTTGTTTACAAAAACACTACAAACAGCATTAATTAATCTGGCCTAAGACCCAACAGCACCGCACAGCGCTGTGACCCGCATGTCTATCATCAGTGAGAGCTCATAAAAACAGGATTCAGAGTTTCAGGCTGTGAGTTCGGCGGCAAGTTCTTACTGTACTGTTTCTCCACTACACACACATGAAGTGCGACCCGTCGGGCAGCTGCGGTGGCGGGGGGGGGGAGGAGCCTGGAGACCGAGCTGGACTGGGCAGGCTGTTCACTGCAAACCGTTCAACAAAACAAGCCCACAAACAGGCAACACAGCAAGATGTTAATCAGTACAAATCAGCTGTGCTCATACACACACACTTAATATCACAGACAGACAGATAAACAGACAGACAGACAGACAGACAGACGGCTGCATATACAGTGAACGGCGAGCATGTCAGTAAAGGCCTTTTCATACTAAGCAGGATTTTTACAGATGAATAAAAAAAACTGACTCAGATTTCAAAAGCACTGAAATCTTTCATCAAGTCTGACGCTTTAAAACACGGAGGAGACGAAGAAGAAAATGTGAGAAGCAAAATTAACCTTTTCAAAGACGCTGTGTTTAACCATTCAGCAGAAACGTTGGCTGTGCAGACTGCTCCACTCAGGAGCTCTAAAAGAGTGAATGAAGGAATGGTTCATCTGCAGTTTTGCAGTCGGAGTGTTTGAGGTGCTGTTTCCACTCAGAGCTGCTCCTACAAGTTTTTATGTCCCACAACATGCAAAATGAAATGCATCCCCATCTTAATAAACACTGACTTGGAACTACAGTGAATATCTACATTATGTGTCCAAAAGTATCCAGATAGTCCATCTAATGCATGTGTGTCAGACTCCAGTCCTCGTGGGCCAAAACACTGCGGACTCCAACTCATAAAACACACCTGATTCAGCTCATCAGCTAATTAGCAAAACCTTCATGAACTGAACTCAGATCGTCAGATGAGGGTAAACATTGAGCTCCACAGCACTTTGGCCCAGAAGGTATGAGGACTGATCAGTTCTTAAAGGTCACTTTAAAACTAGAGGGGCATAAAGCCCTCCCAGCACTGGGCTGTGGAGCAGTGAAACTGTGTTCTCTGGAGTGATGAAGCGCCATTTAATACCTTTGGGGTGAGTTAGTGATCCAGAACTCACCATCCAACATCAGTACCTGACCTCACTAATGCTCAATTAAATCCTCACAGCAATGTTCAACATCTAGAACCTTCCCAGAAGAGTAGAGGCTGTTACTGCAGCACAAACTCACTATTAACACCTTCATTTCAGAAAAAAACTCTGGACCAGCTTTTGGACACGTGTAGCTCTGATTGGTCAACCTGATTTTAACACTTGTTCAACAGCTCTACAATCCAGGAAATCAAGCTGGCTCTGCATTAAACATCTTAGTCTCAGTCCATTTGCTTCAGACTTGATGTGAAAGATTGCATTAATATTTATGTGCATGTTTTTCAGCTCTGTTACAAAAGGCCTTAAAACAAGTACACTAATTTAATAATTACAAGATTGCAATATAAACCACAACTCTAAACAAGTTGTGTTTTCCCTGTGCTACCCGTTAGTTAGTTGGTTAATGAAGGTTGTTAATTAGTTAGTGAACTGATTCAGATGTGCTGGATGAGGAAAAGCACAAAAATGTGCATAGAGGCTTCAGCAACGCCTGCAATGGCTGTTCTGAAATGTCTGCTGTGTAAACAGAGATCTAAACAGATTTATCTCCAAGCCAAGCACATAAACGCTTATAAATTCAGTCCATGTGCTTAAGCAGTTGATCTGATTTAACATGCAGCTGAGAACTGTGCTTTAAATACTTTAGTAGAAAGAACATTTTATCTCACCTGAAACCAGATTGCCGTGTTTGGAGGCAGTGACGTCATAGGGGGCTGTGATGATCTGATCTTGACTCTGTCCAGAGAGCTTTTCCTCCTCCTCCTCCTCCTCCTCCTCCTCTTCATCCTCCTCTGTGCCCACTCGTACCATCACTGCTGTCTGCAGACTGAGACACAGGACAGAGAGCTGAGTGCACCTGCAACCTGCAAACACAGGACAGATAAGCAAACACACACGAAACCCCACCTGTTCTCGGTGGGCAGGGTTTTGAGGCGGTCGGCCGCCAGCTCTTTCTGTCTCTGCTGCTCGGGGCTTCGGCTGGTTTCAGAAGTCTTCTGACAAACCTCACCCTGCTCCTCCTAAGAGGAAACACAAGACAGCAGGATGTGCCACAAGCTCTGACAGCAAGTGCAGGACAGTAATGCAATGCAGAGTGATGCTGAGTTACCATCCTGTGAATAACAGTGTTCAATTTTAGTAGTTATGCTGACGACACAGTTACACATTTCCTTTCCTCCGATAATCAGGACTCTGTGGACAGGCTGACCAGCTGTGTGTCAGTTATTTCTCACAAAATGTTTTACAACTAAATCACGAAAAAACTGAAATGCTGATTGTTGGTCCGAAAACTCAGAGAAAGCTGCTTTATGAGAATCTCGGCTCCTTATCTTCATAAACCAAACCTGCAGTAGAAACCTGGATGTGATCTGAGAGTCTGAGCTCTGTTTAATCTGCATGTAAACAGTCACTAAAGCAACTTTTTATCATGTGAGAAAATCACTAAAGTTCAGCCTTTTCTCTCTCAGAGCGACGCAGAGAAACGTTCAGAGTTGATCACTGTAATGATCTTACTTGAGAAAACAGTCCATCCTCTAGAACCAGTACAGAACGCAGCAGCACGGATCCTCACAGCACCAACACAGAGAGCTCATATTACCCCGTTACACACTGCACTGACCGCCTGGATCTGTTAGAGAGAGTTTAAAGCTCTGCTGCTGGTTTTTAAAGCTCTAAATGACCTTAAAGCTCCTGAACGTCTGTTTATGATCTCAGATCTGCAGATTCTGACCTTCTGAACTCCTTCAGTAAAACACAGAAAACGTGGAGAGACTCTTTCAGTTATTCTCATTCTAAACTGTGGAGCTCAGTTCAGCTTTTATTAGACAGTCGAGCTCAGAGCTCACTTTTAATAAACACCTGAAAACGCAGCTCTTTAACTCAGAGCTTCAGTAAAACTCTATGGCTCTTTGGTCTTTTTCTGTTTAATCTGATCTGGGTTATTGACTTATATGATATGATTTTAAATGAATACTCATCATTTCTGCCACTGGCAAGAAAAGTGCTCTATAAATAAGGATTATTATTATTATTATTATTATTAATAATAATAATGTCATTCCTACAATGTGAGACATGGGTTCAGTGTGTGCTGTGTTACCTCAGCTGGTTTGGGGGTCTCTTTCAATGTGGCTGTCACTTTCATCAGCTCTCGCTCTCCGGGAGACATCTCTCTCTCTCTCTCCCGCTCTCTCTCTCTCTCTTTCCTCCTACCATCCTGCTCTTCTGGTGACAACGCGGAGCTCCTCGTCTAATAAACACACATTCAGAGACGTAAACCTCACTGGATAAACTCAATCCAGCACAATGACTGACAGCCACGTGTTTTAAACGCATCCTTCAGATCATGGTAAAGAAAAATCATCCTGTGTTGTTTATATTAAAGCCAAAAGGCTCGGTGCTGCTTCTCTACAGTAAGTGCATCTGCATATGAGGTGCTGAGGAAGAGAGCTCAGAGCATGACACGCATCCTGAGATTAGCAGCTCAGTGACAGACATGACGAAGCCAGACTGCTGTAAGCATGATGCATAATTCATAAAGCTGATTTCCCACAGCATCGCCGCTACAGAGATCACTCATCTGAGACGAAAGCACAGACAGCTGCATCGTGGACCTGCATTCATAACGTACTCAAGGCTTGGAATGAGCTACACCAACGGCTGCACAAGGTGAGAACTACAAAGCCGGCTTTACAAGAAGCTTCACAGAACAATATACAGCTGTTTTATAGCCTCAGAAAGTACAGAAGAATATCATCCCTGTCGGAATAAAACCTTGTATCTCTGTAATGATAACTTTACAGGAAAAAATATTCATAACTCTACATGGAAGTTAATGGAGCCAGATTTTTTTTCCAATTCATTTTGGAGCTTTTCTATTGGTCCATTCATCATTAAATTTTAGCAGCTGACATTTTCAAATTCGGTGAAATTGTTCAGCAGCGATATGAGAGTTTAGACTCATTAATCATTAATGTGATTTTTCCGCTGATTTCATGCTGTTGGTCAAACTGGACACTTAGTTTGATGACTGAGGATTAACTTACATTATTTTACGTGATAAAGTAAAGTGGAGGTTACTGTACAGGACTGTACAATGAAGGTTAATCAAACGAGTGAAAAACTATTATAACTCTCAAATACTATTTTTGTTATTTGACAAACTTTAATAAACTCTGCTCTCTGGCTGCTCTTTGGACAATAAATTGATATTGCGATGGAAAGACTTCAGGGAGAAAGATATTAAACTTTATTTAACAGTAAACACACAGATGAAAGGGTTGGATATTCAGGTTTTTGGAAACGCAGCTGAACCTGAGAGATCGAACTCTGTACTGCAGGTCTTTACAGCGAGAGCAGGTGGTGTGTGGACGTCAGGGCTACCTGCAGGGTGTAGTAGTATGGATGGTCTTTACTGAAGGACAGACTGTGTGAGAGGGCGCTCTCCTCCCTCCTCCTCTCACGCTCACGTAGCGCCCCCTGTTGATGCCTTCGAATTCGCTCCATCTGCTCCTCAACGCTCATGCGCTGCCGAGCTCCCTCCACACCGCCGGTCATCTGCTCTACTGCGCTGCGTGGACGGTCCTGCTCAGAGTGAGAGAGTGAGAACGCTCAGAGTGAGAGAGTGAGATCGCTCAGAGTGAAAGTGAGAACGCTCAGAGTGAGAGAGTGAGATCGCTCAGAGTGAAAGTGAGATCGCTCAGAGTGAGAGAGTGAGAACGCTCAGAGTGAGAGAGTGAGATCGCTCAGAGTGAAAGTGAGAACTCTCAGAGTGAGAGAGTGAGATCGCTCAGAGTGAAAGTGAGAACGCTCAGAGTGAGAGAGTGAGATCGCTCAGAGTGAAAGTGAGATCGCTCAGAGTGAGAGAGTAAGATCGCTCAGAGTGAGAGTGAGAATGCTCAGAGTGAGAGTGAGAATGCTCAGAGTGAGAGTGAGAATGCTCAGAGTGAGAGAGTGAGAACGCTCAGAGTGAAAGTGAGATCGCTCAGAGTGAGAGTGAGAAAGGTGAGAGTGAGAATGCTCAGAGTGAGAGTGAGAATGCTCAGAGTGAGAGAGTGAGATCGCTCAGAGTGAGAGAGTGAGATCGCTCAGAGTGAAAGTGAGATCGCTCAGAGTAAGAGAGTGAGATCGCTCAGAGTGAGAGAGTGAGAAAGCTCAGAGTGAGAGAGTGAGATCGCTCAGAGTGAGAGAGTGAGAACGCTCAGAGTGAGATCGCTCAGAGTGAGAGTGAGATCGCTCAGAGTGAGTGAGAAAGCTCAGAGTGAGTGAGATCGCTCAGAGTGAGAGAGTGAGATCGCTCAGAGTGAGAGAGTGAGAAAGCTCAGAGTGAGAGAGTGAGATCGCTCAGAGTGAGAGAGTGAGAACGCTCAGAGTGAGATCGCTCAGAGTGAGAGTGAGATCGCTCAGAGTGAGTGAGAAAGCTCAGAGTGAGTGAGATCGCTCAGAGTGAGAGAGTGAGATCGCTCAGACTGAGAGAGTGAGATCGCTCAGAGTGAGAGAGTGAGATCGCTCAGAGTGAGATAGTTCAGAGTGAGATAGTTCAGAGTGAGAGAGTGAGAACGCTCAGAGTGAGAGAGTGAGAACGCTCAGAGTGAGAGAGTGAGAACGCTCAGAGTGAAAGTGAGAACGCTCAGAGTGAGAGAGTGAGATCGCTCAGAGTGAGTGAGATCGCTCAGAGTGAGATCGCTCAGAGTGAGAGAGTGAGAGTGAGATCGCTCAGAGTGAGATCGCTCAGTGAGAGAGTGAGAACGCTCAGAGTGAGAGAGTGAGATCGCTCAGAGTGAGATAGTTCAGAGTGAGAGAGTGAGATAGTTCAGAGTGAGAGAGTGAGAACGCTCAGAGTGAGAGAGTGAGAACGCTCAGAGTGAGAGAGTGAGAACGCTCAGAGTGAAAGTGAGATCGCTCAGAGTGAGATCGCTCAGAGTGAGAGTGAGAGTGAGATCGCTCAGAGTGAGATCGCTCAGTGAGAGAGTGAGATCGCTCAGAGTGAAAGTGAGATCGCTCAGAGTGAGAGTGAGAAAGCTCAGAGTGAGTGAGAAAGCTCAGAGTGAGAAAGTGAGATCGCTCAGAGTGAGAGTGAGATCGCTCAGAGTGAGAGAGTGAGAAAGCTCAGAGTGAGAGTGAGATAGTTCAGAGTGAGAGAGTGAGATCGCTCAGAGTGAGAGAGTGAGATCGCAGAGAGTGAGATCGCTCAGAGTGAGAGAGTGAGAACGCTCAGAGTGAGAGAGTGAGATAGTTCAGAGTGAGAGAGTGAGAACGCTCAGAGTGAGAGAGTGAGAACGCTCAACAGAAACCAGTCAAGCTGTGTAAACTCATTCTGTGTCCATAACGCATAACGCCGCAATTCACAACATGACACAATCATGAGCTGCATTCTGATTGCTGGCAGCAGGGGGCGCTATAGCATCCATCCAGTCAGGTGTTTGGCAGATCAGCAGTTTGACGAGTCTCTTTCCAAGGCTTTGTTCACATTGCAAGCGCTGCTGCCATGGTAACGCTGAATGATGGAGCGAGCAGTGGAAAAACTGAGCTTTTTGATCCAAGCTTCTCATTAAGGTCATACGGCCACGAATTGGATACGTATCCGATCTAGGACCACATATGGAAGTGGCTCAGGTCGGATTTACGTAGACAAAAACGGCTTTGGTTAATATAAATAGTGATCAAAGCTGCGTGAACTGCACTTTACAGGCTTTAAAAACTCGAATGAGTACTAGAAACTCACTCTCAAAATCAAATGTGTACACCACCCACCGTCAGTAAACAGTGACGGGAGGGTTAGTTCACTTTACCAAAATGCTTTTTTCAAACTGTGTGTGGGAAAAAAACACATAACGGCGACCAAACAAAACAAAAATCAATTTAACATGCAGCATACAAACTACACGGAGTGTGTTTACGTGTTTTCAGCTCTTCACTGTCTGTGAATAGAAAACCATGCAGTGGCAATTTTCACAGTTTCACAGACCACTGCATTAAAATGGATTCTCCTGACATTACATAACACTAATAAACATGTTTTACAAAGCTTAGCGTGACTACACTGAAAAACTAAACACGTACCCAACCAAGCATAAATAAATAAATAAATAAATAAATACCAGGTTACACATTTAAATGAAAGGACCTACTGTTCTTGGGTCAGGCTTCTTGTTCTTCCTCAGTGTCACATAAGAGGCGATAGTGGAGGATTCCGGCATCTGAGACTTTGTTCTGGGACTCACGACACCCACAGGATACGGCATCCCTGCAGATAAGAACAGACATGAGACCCTGATGTGTGAAAGTTCCTGCAGTTTCAGCTACTTTTCTGCTGAAGTCCTGTGATGAGATGTTTGAGTACCTTTAGTACTAGAAGGCTCTTTTTCAGCAGCTTGTTCAGATTTGTCCTCTCCATTACTCTCGTCTACTTCAGCCACTGTGGTCAGCTCTGGTTCACTCTTATAAAGTCTGTAGTCTGGACCCTGGAGAGGAGTGACCACATATGTAACACACACACAGATTTCCAAAAGGAATGTTATGGACTGAATGTATGAGATGTTACTATTATGAAACATGGACGCAGATGGAGTCACGCTGATCTAAGGTCTCCACACTGAACTGTGCAATCTGTTAATGACTGAATGAGAACCAAAAAATGAGGCGAACATTCAAACTCAGCTGAAATGTTCAAAGAATCATAACCCAGTGATGATGAGCAGAGATGGACGCCCACACAGTTTATGAAGTAAGATGTGGAGGAGTCAGAGGATGCGGTGAAGGAAATGGTGGGACGCGGGGGGGCAAGGGGTGTTCAGCAGCCTCTTACGCTGTGGCTGCCGTTGCGTTGGGCGGCCTTGCGGTCCTCAGGCCGGTGTGCGGTTGTGCGAGGCATGTGCGGCTGTGCGGAGCCGGGGCAGGGCAGGGGGGGCACGCACGGTCGCTCTCCGCCCTCGTACAGCTGAGGAAGTGGAGGACGCGGGGGCACGGAGTCTGACTCCTACAGATTGAAAGTAGTCCCAACTGAGAGGTGAAACGAAAGCTTGGTTGCCGGGGCAACTGCTGGCTCAGAGCTGAATTTGGAGAGAAATCAAGTAATGGACGCTGCTGACCGCAGCGCCGGCAGAGCACTGAGTTTCTACTAAAGCAATAACCCACAAGAGGCCCTGCGTTACTGGAGTTAAACCTCCTCCTGTGATAAAATCACTGACACATGACCTCAGGCGGCTTATTGCTTTTATAAAATAGCGGCCAACATAAAATATATAATAATAATAATAAAAAAAAATAATAATAATAATATTAATTGATATAAACAAGTATTCCACCAAGAAATGCAGTTTCTTTATAGTATGGTATCGTTGCCAAGCAACCATGGACAGCTGAATGAGGAGAAGGACGTTTGGCCGCCCATCACTGTATACAGCACTCTTTAATGCAGGTCACCAAATCACCACTGCGAGTCTTATTTAGCACCAATCCAGCGGCGCTGCTCCTCCCACACTGGGCAGAATTTCAAATGGCTGTTAGCTATCCGCTGAGCTAATTGCTAATCAATCACATTCTTATGTACAGCATGTTTAGGAGGATTTTAGGCCTTTTTCTTCAACTTCACACTATTTTTGACGCATGCGCCTTCATACAATCTCTGCAGTTCTCACTGCAAAGTCACTCAATAGTTAATGCACAGTTTATTTCCATTTGTATTTCAGCTACAAATTATTAGTGGAAGACTGAGTGAAAATGAGGTATATTATAATTTAACAAACTCAAAGAAAACAAACATGTTAACCTGCTTACAATTACTTTATTTTAAGCAGTATAATTTTGCCCATACTTGCACTGTAATATAGTCATTATATTTTATCTGAATATAGTTTATTTATAGCCGACTTTTAGATTAGCAGAGAGAGACGGGTTCAGTTCTCTAACGCTCACCTCGCTCTTCTGAAGGCTGGAGATCGGATTGGCTCCCGGAAAACCTGCACATACAGACAAACACACATTACTGAACTGAACAGAACAGCGAGAAAAGAAACCATCTAGAACCCTCTTCAATAAGAGAACACAGAGCCACAGAACACAGAATACAGAACACACAGACCACAGAACACAGAACCAGGGTTGAGAACCACTGGTCTATGGTGTGTGTGTGTGTGTGTGTGTGTGTGTATGTATAAGTGTGAATATGTGTGTGTGTGTGTGTGTGTGTATAAGTGTATAGAAGTGTATATAGGTGCGTATGTGTATGTACGTGTGTGTGTGTGTGTCTCTTACTGGGTTCAGTGCTCCTCTTTGGCTTGTTTTTGTTCAAAGCTTCCATCACGTCCTGAATTCTCCAGAGTTCCTTCTGGATCTGTACGTGCTGCTGACTCGGAGGTTCCGTCTACACACACACACAGTCACACAGTTCAGTGCTGTACGTCTGTGTGTGGTTATTTTTCAGTGACGGTGAGGAGCTGAAGGTCGGTACTCTACCTGCGGACTGCCGAGAGCCTCTAGCTGTTCCAGCAGGTTCCTCTTAGCCAACGTGACATCAGCCTCCAGCTTATCGTACTCCCTCCAGCTCCGATCCAGCTCCTGCAGAACCACAGCGTTCAGACAGCGTCTCACTCTCTGCAACATCCTCAGTGTGTATGTGTGTGTGTGCGTGTGGGTCTGTGTGTGTGTGTGTGTGGGTCTGTGTGTGTGTGTGTGGGTCTGTGTGTGTGTGTGTGTGGGTCTGTGTGTGTGTGTGTGTGTGTGGGTCTGTGTGTGTGTGTGGCTGAAGATGCTGAATCTACAGTTTGTGACGGAGAAAGAGATTCACTCACGGCGTTGACGCGGGAAAGTTCTCTGCAGGTGCTGAGGAGGCCGCTCTGCAGAACATCCCTCTGCTGGATGACGCTCTGCACAGCTGCTGGATTATCAGTGCTCATCTCGATCTCCTGACTGGCCGACAGCAGGGCTGTCTCCAGAGTGTGCTGACACAGAAAACACCAACAAAATCACATCTCTCTGAACCAGCGTCCTCCATGAAGAACCACAATTATTACACTGTAATACTGCAGTTATTACTGTAATACACAAATGAGCGATTTATAACTACTAGTGAGTTGAACGGTCTGGGCATTCTTACAGAGACAGCAGCTGTTTTTGCATTAAACAAACACTACAGAGTTCGGTTCTACCTTCTCTCTGTGGAGCTGCTGAAGCTTCTCCTCCTGAGTGCGCACCACTTTGCCTTGTTCACACAGCCTGCTTAGCTTAGCCTGGAACAGTGAGACGGAGTTAGAGCTTCTTCCTCTGATCTCAGGAAGGAGCATCATCACAACAGGCCTTCAACTCCACACACAGCACAGTATTCAGTGTGTTTACACTTCATAATCTGATAACTGCACAAAATCAGATTGTGTCAATAACCGGTTTGGTGCGTTTACACTTCATAATCTGATAACTGCAGAAAATCAGATTGTGTCAGTAACCGGTTTGGTGCGTTTACACTTAATAATCTGATAAATGCACAAAATCAGATTGTGTCAATAACCGGTTTGGTGCGTTTACACTTAATAATCTGATAACTGCAGAAAATCAGATTGTGTCAGTAACCGGTTTGGTGCGTTTACACTTAATAATCTGATAAATGCACAAAATCAGATTGTGTCAATAACCGATTTGGTGCGTTTACACTTAATAATCTGATAACTGCACAAAATCAGATTGTGTCAGTAACTGGTTTGGTGCGTTTACACTTAATAATCTGATAACTGCAGAAAATCAGATTGTGTCAGTAACTGGTTTGGTGCGTTTACACTTAATAATCTGATAACTGCAGAAAATCAGATTGTGTCAATAACCGGTTTCATGCTCTTGAGTAATCAGTGGGGAAACTCCGGGTCTACATGAGTCAGACAGTAATCAGATTTCTGCTTTACAACCAGCCAATAAACTCCAGAAGACTTGTCATTATATTTCCAATTCTTTTTTTTTTTATCATTTTATCACTTTTATTTCTGGTCCTTTTTCTGCCTTTGTTGTATTTTTGTTTTATTACTTAATTTTACTTTTTGATTGTAAAACACTGAGTTGCTTTGAGTATGAGAAGTGCTCTATGATTATTTTTTTTTTATTATTATTATCATTATCATCATTTTGCGAGTGCTGTGTTAAACGCTGCTCGCTGTTTCCAGGACGGCGCTCTGTTTCCACACAAGCTCAGACTGAGAGAAACGAAAGAAATCAGACTGAGAGTTTACAGCACTGAGAAACCCCATTACTGACTCAAATCCAGCCTCTTTATCAGATTTACTAATCAGATTTATAGACTTTAATCTGATCTGAGAAACCAGAGTGTGTGTTTACATGACCACTTAATAATCAGATCACTGCAGAAATCTGATAATGATTGGATCGTTAAGTGCATGAAAGCACAATCAGTGACATCAATTATAGTCACATATGTTCAGATTCTGATAGACTAACTCTTTACTGGTCATTTCAGCAGAACAGCCCACTTCTGTTTCAACCTCTGAATCTATTAAGTATCCAGATGTGGACAGCAGTGGACTTACATCAACATCCAGTTCGTCAGGTCTGCAGCTGAAGGTGTTCTCTCTGTACTCCTCAGGGCTCATCTGCAACACAGAGCAACACTCAGATGCAGGTCTGCCGTCAGGCTGCTGTTCCAGCCGTGCAGTAAACAACTCCAGAGTGATCAGAGCCAACAGACCAAAACAGCAACAGTCAGGAGAAGAACCTCAGTTCCTCTCATTAAGGGAGCGTCTCTCCCACTCAGTAAAGAGCTTTCAGTGTTATTACTGCAGGAAAGACTAAGACCTCGGCAGATTAGAGAGGAAACGTCAAATTTAGTTAGGAGGCTGATGCTAAAGCGAAATGAAGGCACGCTACACTTCCCTGTACAGCAGAACGTAAATGAAGGTAAAGTGGGAATTCATTGCACTTGCATTTGTTCAAGTTTAAGACTGTGCTGAAGAAATCTAGAACTAATATACCACTAATATAGCAAAATATCACAGTCGGAACAAAACCTCGAATCTCCAAAATGAGAACTTTACAGGAGAAGAAAAAAACACACTTTACTATCAATGTAAGTCAATGGAACCAGATGTTTTGCAGCCTTTCAGGCTGTTTCTTTTGGTGCATTCATAATGAAATTTACACACAATGTAAAAGAACAACGGGAACTTTCAAATTATGACACGAACTGAAAAACGATGGAGATACGAGGTTTTGTTCTGATAGCAGCGATACACAGGTGCATCTCAATAAATTAGAATATCATCGAAAGGTTAATTTATTTCAGTAATTCAATTCCAAAAAGTGAGACTTGTGTATTATATAGATTCACTACACACAGAGTGATCTATTTCAAGCGTTTATTTCTTTTAATGTTGATGATTATGGCCTACAGCCAATGAAAACCCAAAAGTCAGTATCTCAGAAAATTAGAATATTGTGAAAAAGTTCAATATTGTAGACTCATGGTGTCACACTCTAATCAGCTAATCAACAGAAAACACCTGCAAAGGTTTCCTAAACCTTTAAATGGTCCCTCAGTCTGGTTCAGTAGGCTACACAATCATGGGGAAGACTGCTGACTTGACAGTTGTCCAGAAGGCAGTCACTGTAACCCTCCACAAGGAGGGTAATCCACAAAAGGTCATTGCTAAATAAGATGGCTGTTCAGAGTGCTGTATCCAAGCATATAAATGGAAAGTGGAGTGGAAGGAAAAAGTGTGGTAGAAAAAAGTGCACAAGCAACAGGGATAACCGCAGCCTTGAAAGGATTGTCAAGAAAAGGCGATTCACGAATTTGGGGGAGATTCACAAGGAGTGGACCGCTGCTGGAGTCAGTGTTTCAAGAGCCACCACACACACACGTATACAAGACATGGGCTACAACTGTCACATTCCTTGTGTCAAGCCACTCATGACCCAGAGACAACGTCAGAAGCGTCTTACCTGGGCCAAGGAGAAAAAGGACTGGACTGTTGCTCAGTGGTCCAAAGTCCTGTTTTCAGGTGAAAGTAAATTTTGCATTTCATTTGGAAATCAAGGTCCCAGAGTCTAGAGGAAGAGTGAAGAGGCACACAGTCCAAGCTGCTTGAGGTCTAGTGTGAAGGTTCCACAATCAGTGATGGTTTGGGGAGCCATGTCATCTGCTGGTGTTGGTCCACTGTGTTATATCAAGTCCAAAGTCAGCGCAGCCGTCTACCAGGACATTTTAGAGCACTTCATGCTTCCCTCTGTTGACGAGCTTTATGGAGATGCGGATTTCATTTTCCAGGAGGACTTGGCACCTGCCCACACTGCCAAAAGTACCAAAACCTGGTTTAATAACCACAGTATCACTGTGCTTGATTGGCCAGCGAACTCACCTGACCTAAGCCCCATAGAGAATCTATGGGATATTGTCAAGAGGAAGATGAGAGACACCAGACCCAACAATGCAGACGAGCTGAAGGCCGCTATCAAAGCAACCTGGGCTTCCATAACACCTCAACAGTGCCACAGGCTGATCGCCTCCATGCCACGCCGCATTGATGCAGTAATTCATGCAAAAGATGGCCTGACCAAGTATTGAGTGCATATACTGTACATACTTTTCAGTAGGCCAACATTTACGTATTAAAAATATTTTTTTTTAAATTGGTCTTATATTCTAATTTTCTGAGGTACTGACTTTAAGGTTTTCATTGGCTGTAGGCCATAATCATCAACATTGAAAGAAATAAATGCTTGAAATAGATCACTCTGTGTGTAATGAATCTATATGAGTCTCACTTTTTGAATTGAATTACTGAAATAAATTAACTTTTTGATGATATTCTAATTTATTGAGATGCACCTGTATATGTGTATATATATATATATATATATATACACACACATACACACAACATTGTAATCCATCTATTGATTCAAAGCAGTTTTGTTGATGTGACAAAAGAAACAATACACAATTTTTTTTCTCTCTAAAACACACACACACACACACACACACATACTGAGCTGATGACGGAAATGAAGGTGTGTGACGATGAGAGGTCAGCAGCACTTTTATACGCGTTCGTGTTCTAAAAGTGGCAGAGAGGCGTGGCGGGTATTTGTGAAATATTCATGGCTCCTGTTGCAGGACAGCAGGACAGAGGGACGGACACACGGACAGCCAAGGTTCAATATGAAACAAAAGGGAATAAATACGATATACAGCAGAGTGATGGGTCTTTAAGTCAGGCCTGTGATGTAAACTGTAGAGAAATAAGTTCGTCACTCGCATTTTTATATTAAATATTTAAAACCAGTTTTAGACACTTCTGTCTGCTTACAGTCCCACAGCCTGACCTCTCAGATGGTGACCGGCGGTGGGGAGGATGTTCTCCACGGACTGAGCGCAAGGTGCAGCGCTGGCAGCCTCGACCGCCGGCGCACTAATTACCTTTCCCCTCGGCCTGTTCCGCCTCCGGCCGAGCTGGCATGACTAATGAAAATGCAGCAGAAAGGCTGCAGCTAAACCACCTCATGTGCTCCAGCACCCCAGTGAGGGATTTGAAGGGAGTTCCTGACACCATCCTGAAGAGATTTTGAGGACTTTTAAAACTGCTTTTTGCTGGAGCTGAAGATCGACAGCGCCGTCGACAACAGATGCTAACATTTAACACGGAACAAAGCCAGCAAGGACGCTTAAGCAGTTTACTGTGTCCATATAAATGACCTCAACGATCTCGTCCCACATGACACTGGAACAGTCCCAACACATGACTGAATGGGGAACTGCAAATGACTCAGAATGGAGCGAACACACCGGCTGGTGGGGAGTTTGCATGGCAGTGCAGATCAGACAACACGACTAAGCCATGCCAACACCGTCTGCAAGAAAATAACAACAACCACCACGATGGGATGTGCTGTAAGAGACCCAACACTGGATGAGACAGTGAGGGACGCGTCCGGGGGAGAACAGGAGGGCAGGTCGATGGGACGGGGGGGGGGTAGGTGCATTAGCGTGTGGACGTCAAGACCTTACTTGCTGGTAAAGTTGAGGCCTTGGAGCTGAGTTCTCAATCATAGTGTGAATCATGAAGATTATTGGCTCGTTCTCCTTCATCTGGTACAAGTGAGGAGGAGGAACAGCATTCAGCACAGAACAGCACTGCCACACATCACAGCCGCACACGGCTCCACGATCATGAGCTAGGAGGAGATATTTGGTTGCAAAAACTACCAGAGGAGGAGAAACTCAGACCCATCTCATTCCGTCAATCTCAGATGAGAACATGAGGCTTACAGAACATTTAGGAACGTTCTAGCTTCATCTCTGATTGTTGTAATAAAATATAACACTAGAGTTCAGAGAGGAAACCGTGATGTGGACGTTTTGACCCCTTATTGGATGAATGCAGTCAAATGAAACTAGTTAAGGGTCAGATCACTCGTCTACTCTGGTACTGTGATGTTCTGGTGTTTTATTTATGTTTTTAATGCTACACAGGTCAGCAACTGGAGCTTAACAGTGCAACAGACTTCAACTCAAGGACCAGAAGGAGTGACTGGACGCTGCACCATTTCATTTCATGCTCAGTTTTCTCTGTGATTTTCTTTACATTCTTTTCTTTGGATTCACGTATTTTCAGCTCTGCTACAATTTTTTTCATCCATTAAAGCTCCTTCTATAACCTTACACATTTTCATAAAAAGTAAAAGCATTTTAATTTGTAAAAGATAAAGAAAATTTTTTAAGGAAAGTTCTTATTTTGCTGTGGAAGTGCAGCGTTAGCATTACATGGTTGTTTACAGTAAAACGGAATTATTTTAAGATGTTTTGAAATTCTTCATTCTGAAGCCTGAAGTTCTGACTTTTTGGAAATCACAGTTTTCTTGAAGCATCTCAAACTCATTTTCCCAGTTAATTCAAGATGTGTACTTTCTATTTACTTCAAATCATTTCATATTTGTGTTTGGAAGAAAGAGAACTAAAATCTGAGAAACTGTCCTGCTGCAGGAGAAGCTGTTACGTTTGATGCCCAAAATTTCAACAGAATACGTAACGTAGCGGCCGGTGGGTGGCGTTGGAGAGCGGTGAACTGGAAGGGAAACTTTTTAATTATAATAAAGTTATAATAGTATAAATGACTAACATTACAAAAAACATTTTGCGATATTTTTAAAGCTGTTAAAACTTGTGAAAATCGCTACACAAATAAAACTGAACTGAAATGTGTAGTCTGCAGTGTTCAGAATTAGCACAACAACAAACTGTGAATACTAATAATAAGAAAACAGATTAAACCGGTTTTGTGAAGTAATTTTTTAACTACTAAATATTTCATAATAAAAGAATAAACAAATTAATGAAGTATCGTGTTCAAACATCTTTCAATCAAAAATGTGTCTGAGGCTCCAGAAAGGCACCCATAATTCCATTAAACATTAAAAACTGATCATAGACTGTAATCTTTCTATACATCTATAATACAAACACATTATCACTGAAAACATTAGAAAAGACTCCCAGGACACATCGTTACGGCATATTATCATAAATAATATTCACTAAGCAAAGTTCCTCACTAAAGCGCTGTACAGAATATTTACAGTCTTGAGAAAATATCCGTAACAGTAACAAGTTTAATTCTGCTTTACATGATATTTTACTCAAAATGATTGAATGATGACCTGTAATGAGCCAAAACGGACTGATGCCTTCATCTGTCAATCAAAATGTTTTAATATGAAAATCTGAATTGGCTGAATTTGATCTCTTTAAAAACAAAGTTTAAACAAAGCACATAAAGAGAAAGTAAGACTGGGCGATACTGAAGTTCAGTATCATGATATCTTAATGTATCACGTGGTCAGTATTAGATGATATTTAAGTTTGCATTAATAGGGTTAATGAGCTTCGTAAGTGCTGATCTAAATGAACAGAATGACGTACCGTCCTGATGTTGCGCTCTGATTGGACCGTTCTGCTCTGTTCTCTTCTCTTACAACTACATTAAAATCAATCTAACACATTTTTATAAACATTAAACGGACACACAAACCACATTAACCCATTTTATAGACTTAACGCATGATGAAAGACGCTCACTGCAGTTCATACTGTGAGTGAAGAGCAGGACCGCCAGAACCACCAGGACCACCGGACATTTGACCAACCACTTTCCAAAGTACTGGGGCAGCGACGCACCGTTTTCTGAATTCAGATCGGAGCACTGACCAATACGGCCAGAGAGAGAGCGTCAAACTCCTCAGCATAACCAATCAAAATCCCCATTTCAGCTGGGAGGCGGGACGTGGTGGGAGTTGGTGGTCAGTGAAAGGAGCTGCAGCTCCTGATCCAGTATAAACTGACCTCACTGCGATACATGAACTGATGCAGTCAGTCAGAGTCTGAATTTAATAAACGTCAGTTTTAATATTTCTTCCTGCTACGCTACTTTACTGACGTCGCTGTCACACCTACCACATTTGGTGCCGACCTTTAGAACGTTTTCTGTGGTTCGGTCTGTTTTGATGTGTAAACACTCCACCTGGAGTCAGGTCCACAGCAAACAACTGACCCTCCTTGAGTTCGCTGCTGGTGGGAACGCATCTTTTTGATGATGCTCACCAAACAAGAGAATTCAGCACCGGAGCTTTTCTTAGAGCCGTCAGGCTGGACTGTCTACGTAACCTGCCTGTTCAACATTTTACTGACTGTCATCTTTCCTCTGGCATGAGCGGCTGACAGTAATGGCAGACAAGCAGCAAAAAAACAGAAGAGATGTGCTTTTAATTTCAGCACACGGGTCACAGAAGTTACTTTTGGGCAAGCATCAGTGATCTGACTGGTTAAATTCAAATTGATAAACCAATCATAAAGAAGCAGAAATCACAAAAAGATTATTATTGCTTCGTTTTATGACACACAGACTTTCTGTTTTACATTATCTATTTATATCTTTATACTTTCATGGTGATAAATGTAAAAGTAACAGAGTGACTGTATCTCTGCAAGATTTCTGACCAATAAATGAAAAACCTGCGTGTGTAATTTAGTGAACTTTTGCTGTTGCTGTGTGAAACCAAACCAAACCAAACCCAATAAAATACAATATCATATCACAATATCACAAAAACTCCCATGAACAGGTTCATAGAGTTGTGTTATCAGTACGATACACAAGGTAGTTTTAGTTACTCAGTCAGTGGCCAAACTGCTTTTTGTGACTCAGTCAGCTGTGTTTTTTTTTTGTGTGTGTGGTCAAGTGTGCAACATAGAGTTAAACAGCTTGAAACACTTATTCCATGGGCATTATATTATAGACATAATACTCATAATAATCTTATTATAAACGATATATCGCCCAGCATAAACTGTTACTGAACTCTGTCTGTTTACTTACAGGAATAAAAACATGATAAAAGACAACGCAAGTGAAATAAAAACACTTTATTGAACCGTCTAAAAGAACTGACCAAAGGCCGTTTTCTGTAACGATCACTGAAAATCCAAACCATCAGTGAACACAGCAAACGCACTGAATCAGCGTTCTGTAACTCCTCCAGCGCTGAGACGAGCTCAGTCTGCTCTAAAACAGCACTGATGTTTTAAAGGCATCTTGAATTGTCTGGAATATCAGTATTTTTCTCCTTTAAGTAAACAGAGAGAAAAAAAACACACATGAACAGCTGATAAACATCACCGAATAACGTGAGTCTGTGAGCAGCTCAGTTAGACTGACTGAGTATAATTACTGTAATCTTACTGTGAGTTTTATCATTTGGTAGAATTTTGCAGTAATTATAAATGCACGTCAGAGAGAGAGAGAGAGAGAGACAGACAGACAGACAGACACACCAAGGGACAGAAAGAGAGAGAAGGAGAGAGAAAGAGAAAGAGAGAGAGAGAGAGAGAGAGAGAGAGAGAGCGAGCAATGCCCTCACCTGGCTGTCCAAATACATGAGATTCCTCTGCAGGTGGTGGGAGAGGATCTCGCTCTAGTGAAGGCAGCGGAAAGGAGAGAGGACAGAGCTCAGGAGGAGAGCAGAACTGAGAGAAACAGAACGTCTGAGAAAGAGAGAAAAGGGGGGGGGGCAGCCCAGTGGGCGAGAAACTCATACTACAGAAAAGATACATCAGCTAACAGGCCATTCACAGCTACCCAGAGGACTCTGACGGCCATCCGGCAGGACAGTCATCATGCACTAGTGGGTCAGAGAACATGGATCCAAGCAGAGGTGCAGAACTTAAGACAAGCATCCAAAAAGGAAAATGACAGCAAGACAGGATGTAAAAGACGCATCTTTAACAGAGGAAAACATCTGCCAGATGTGTTCCACACGCAGCTCAGGCAAGAACACTAATAACAGTCTATGCAGATGAGTAGAAACCTGCTGGAGTCTATGGTTCTATCAGTGTTAGTACAGGGTAACACAACTCATCCACAACTGAACACAACAAAAAACAGCCAGCATGCTTAAAACAATCACAACTACTGTACAAACATAAAGAAGACAGAGTCGGTAATGAGGCGCAAAAGAAAGCAGCTAAGCATTCCTTCACTCGGGGATGCACAGACTAGCGCGGGTGACCCTCCGAGGCTGACCTTTGGGTTGGTGGCATCGAGGTTTAGCTGCATTAGCTGAGCAAGAGTGTGCTCTCGGATGCTGTTGAGCTCAGCCTGCTGCCGTCGCAGCTTGATAAGCAGCAGGGTCAGCTCCTCTGGCTGGGGTCGCAGGAAACAACGCGCACAGGGGTCGTGGTTAGAGAGCCGTTGTGGACAACACTGGAGAATGGCTTAGAGATGTGTGAAATGCTTGGGTTATATTTTTGGGCTTTCAGTTTAGGACTGAGCACTGGATGAATGACAGAATATGAATCGAGCAGCTTATAGAGAGTTATTTCTCATGAAAACCTCAAACCATGAAAAGTCAAAGATTCAATATCTGTGGAAAACTAACCCCAAACCTAAAGCACATTCAGCGTTCACACACAGAGTTAACGTTCAAAATGACCCGCTGGATTCAGAAGAGCAGCTCTTTACATCAGAATGTAAATAAACAGTCGTTACTGTAAAGATTCTCAGATATAAAAATGCAGTACAGAGGGAGAACAGAGGTGTTCACATTCAGAGACTTCAACAGGGTTCCATATTAGCGCTGCAGTCTTTTCGTGATTTTTTGATTTTCTCCCCAATGCAGTTGTATCCAGTTCTACTAGTTCTGTCTCCCCCAGTCACACGATACCCCCAGCTCTAGGAGGGTGAAGATAAACACAGTCTTCCTCCGAGTTCTGTGAAGCTCCACCGCACCTCTTCAAACTGTCGCTAACGCAGCGTCACTGGACAGCTGAACGCGCTCAGAGGAGACACTAACCACCAGATCTGTTACGTCAGCTAATGGACGCCTGCGCTGGCAGCAACGCGCTAAGTGATGGGGGGAGACGGGGGGCATCCTGCCCACCCAGAGAGACAGGGAGGACGACTGTGCTCTCTTGGACTCCTGGACACGGACGGCTGTAGCATCACCGGGGATCAACTCGTGACCTCCTGATGATGACAGGACTGACGCTTAGACGGTTGTGCTACTCAAGAACCCTGTGATAATGATCTCTACACTGCGGCCCACTATTTGTTTGGCTACTCCTGTGCCTTCCATGTTGATGGCATCGTGTGTTTTAAACAGACAGTAAACAGAGCTTTCTGCGTTACGTTGTGGCCGCTGATCCTCTGCTCGGATACTGGTTTCATTTTTATGAACACTGTTTTAAAGGAGTTTCTGTGTTTGGGCGGCCCTGGCTAACAAACATTTACTCATTGACTCAAGGCTGGTTACTGTAACTGAGAGACAGGTGAGTTATTTGTGTTAGAGGAGAAAGACGGAGGCAGAGAGGAGGAGAGGCGTACCGTTTTACCCTGCAGGGACTGAGGCGTGATGCTCTGAGCTGCTGGAGCTCTGCGATCAGGCAGGTATGCGTACTGACAGAAAGCAAAGCAAAGAAAATGAGAAGAACAGAGTGAAGACCTGAAAACCCATCACAGCACTGACCCTCCTACTATCTTCAGAGTCAGTTTGACCCCATTCAATGTTTAACATCTCTAAATAAGATTCTTCATATTAAACCACTTTTCCTAATTTAATGGGGGCGACTGGGTAAACACGAAATTGACATGATGATGTTTTCAGTGTTCTGTACACATTTTGTACAGTCCTGTCTGTCCTCTGTGTCAGTTTTACTCCAGGCTGATTCTGAACTGTATAAAACAAAAGAAATATTAACGTTTTACACACATTTTCTTTGTTTGTTTTGGATGATATTGAGGTCATTATAACATGCAATTTTATAAATCTCCAGAAAATCGTCCCTCTGCTTTGGGGTCCTAACCTTACATGACCACAGTGCAAGAACAGAACAACTGATAGATCACACAACATTCGGGTCAGAACTCGGTGATTCAACATGTTGCGAGAACTTTCTCAGAGATATTAACTGCTGAGGTCAAACTGACCCCAAAGATATAAGATGTATTTAACAATTCAATCAATACAGATTTAACAACGACTTTAGTGCCCGTCACCATGTCTAGCACCTGGACATTCAGAGACCTGATCAATGATTGTGCACATCATCTACCTGAACTCACTCTAATTATTCTTTAATTCTAATGTTAATTTTAATCCAGATGAAGCCGGTCAGCAGTGAAAACACCATCACAGACAGCTCAGCTACAGCAGGCCAGGCCGCTGATTCACTGACACTGAGCGGAGTAAGAAGTTCAGAAATGTTTCTATATGATGTTATGTTGAGATGAGTCGGTACCTTTGTGAGGTGAGCTCTGTGGCGCCGGTCAATACTGACGTCTCCTCGGAACACCGGCGAGGAGACCTCGGAGCTCGGGTTGAAGGGCCGGTTGGGGGAGACGGAGTGGTACAGAGCCAGCGAGCCGTGGGAGGGCGAGGAGGGGATGGACTCGGTGATGTGGCCCATAGTTTTGGGGCTGGGCAGCGTGCCGTAGCCCAGCCGGCTGTGTGCCTGCCTCTGCTGCCACTCGTACAGCTGCCACATGGTGTCGTCACGCATGGAGCGCCGCTTCTCCGCTGCGGTGGGCTGCAGCGCGCGGTCGTACACCGAGCCCGCGACGCTGCAGATGCTGTCCGGTCGCAGCATGTTGCGAGGAAGTGTGCGGTAGCCCTCTGGATAGCGCGGCACCACCTGCGCGCGATGGCTCGGCATGTTTCTGGGCAGCGTCTGATAGGAGGTGATGCTGGAACAGAGATGAGACGTCAGCACCTCAGAACCGCTACACAAAACACCACAAGCACACAGATCCATCATAATCACAGGACTGAGGGAGGAATCTGGCACAGCTTTGCTGCCGAATTTACAGTTTCACTGCAAAGAGCGACCATCTGATGTCTCTTGATCGCTCATCACTCTCTCGATCGCTCATCACTCTCTCTCTCTCTCTCTAAAAGCACTGTGCTTCATCCTTTACAAAGCCCTCAACATCATCTATGCAGCAGAGTCTGGCTGATAAGTAATTAACTAGCTTGCTAATTGCCTGTCACGTACCAGGAACCCGTTGGAGAACTTGGGCCTATCTGAGTGGGCAGGAATGCGAGGAAGACGACAGGACGCATGAAAACGCTCACTGAACAGGCATGACAGAGCTGCGTGTGTCCTGCCAGCAGATAAGAGCCTGAGCTGAGTGCACTCCCTGCACGCTGCTCTGTGCCAGAGCGCCAAATCGAGTCAGAGCCGGGCTCGGGCGCGGACTGAGAGAAGGGATGTTAATTACTTGGCTGAGGATGTGACCTCGCAAGAGCGTTTAAGCTTTAGTAAATGCCCTGCGTGAAACACAAAACATGCTTCCTTCAGTGAACCAGCATCCACACAAACCCATTTACGAAGACCCAGAATGTTCAGCTCTGAAAACAGATTGTGAACATCAACAGTGAGTTACAGGAAAAATACGTCTGCTGATCATGAAGGCTTTTAAATTACTCATTTATTTACACACACGTGAGATTAGGGCTCCCATCAAGCTGCTGTGCCCTTCAGACTATAAAATATGTTTCTGTCTCAATGAGCTTGCAAAATTATCTTCACCTACATCGTTTTACTGCAGTATCATCTTCAATTTTAACAAATTTAAAGGGGAGAAACTCAACAACTACTCAGCAGCTAAAACAGCACACTTTAAAGGATAAGGATCTTTAGTCATTTATTTAGGTACTGTTTACAAGAAGTGGAGGTTAGTGAAGGTCACCAACTGAAAAATTAAATGTCTATATTTGTGTTGTAGTCATGGCGACCCCTGGTTCCTATCACCACCACTGTAAAGACATCTGAACCATTTCACACCAAACCACTCTGAATCACTCTGTTTACATCTCACACACTGAGTTACAGAGGAATTTTGCAAAATTGGTGGAAAAAAAAACAATTTTTTTTCAAAAGTATATTGACATCGTCAGGTTTGTCTGCAGTTTCAGGTTTGACGTAAATGTTTTTGTGCAGTTTTTTCACATCACTGTTAAAGACAACTTGTTTCTTCTTCAATCAGTAATCTGACTGTGAGACGGACAAACACAGAGAAACACTGACTCACTCACAGCCTGACAGGTGTGTTTGTGTGAAGAACTTTAAAGTACGTAAGTATGGTCACTCGCTAACAGACCGCGTACCTCCGCGTGTCGTCGTCCTGCCCTCGCGTGCGGTGCATCCTGACCCACTGCTCTAACTGCTGCATGGAGTCGGTTCTGCTCAGCGCTCTTTCTGGCTCGGTGGACTGAGGCTGGACCGCCGTTCTCTGTGGAAGAGCCCCAACCGTGTTTCCTGGGCTCCGCTCTCCTCCTCGCTCTCCGGAGCCGTTGACCTGTGCCGCTGCTTTGTACGGGGCGGGAGCTCCTGCGCTCTGGAGCTGCCGCGAAGAGGAGACGGCGGCGGCGATGGCGGCCGCCTGGGCCGGCTGCAGCTTGATGCTGTTGATTTTGGTGAGGGGTCGCTCCACACCCAGCTCCTTCTGGAAGCCATACTGCTCACCTTCTCTGTGAAGGCTGATCTTCTCTGGCTCTTTTTGCAGCATCACTTTCTCTTTGTCTTTCTGCAGGGGGCGCCCCGCGTCTTTCTGCAGATACTTCTCACCGTCTTTCTGCAGCGCGTCCTTCGGAAGCGCGTATTTCTCTCCGTCTTTGTGCAGCGTATATCTCTGCCCGTCTTTCTGCAGCAGGTACTTCTCTCCGTCTTTCTGCAGGGTATACCGTTCTCCATCCTTCTGCAGAGCGTACCTCTCCCCGTCCTTCTGGAGAACAAGCTTTTCCACATCTTTCTGCAACATGTACCTGTCTTCATCCTTCTGCGCAGCGTACTTGTGCCCATCTTTCTGCGGGACGTACTTCTCCTCTTTCTGGTGTGAGAGCTTGTCAGAGTCTTTCAGTGACAGACTTCTGTCCTTCTCTCTGTGGATGCTGGGCTGCTTCTCCAGCTGCTTCTGTTTCTTGTCCTCCTGCCGAAGGCTCTCCCGGTTCCTCTCGTTGTTCTGGATTTCAGGTCGGGTTAGAACTCGGTGATTCAACATGTTGTTCATCTCCTGCGGGCTGCGTGGGTCTACCTTCGTCTTCTCCAGCCTGACACAAGAAAGAAAGAGAGGGATAAGAGAAAAAGAAGGAAGAAAACGAGAGAATGAGTCACTGTAAAAGAGAGGAGTGCTAATGGATTATATGCAAAGTCATTTAAAAAAAAAACACAGAAAGCAGAAAGGAAGGAGAGACGACCGTCTGCGCCAACGTTTATTTTAACTTTCTTCAGTAAATGTTAGGGGTGGGAATCTTTAGGCACCTCACGATTCGATTCGATTACGATTCAGAGGCCGCGATGCGATTATAAAACAATTATCGATGCATCTTTTTGTTCTATACAGGATTTCTATTTTCCTACTGTCTGAGGTCTTGGTACCTTTAAAGCAAAGTATTTGTAATGATCCATAATGAATTTACTTCCAATATCTTTTATTAATAAATCAAATGGAAGTGATGTGGTCAGTGAACTGGAAGGCTCTCATTCACTGCTCTTGTTTGGAGCACATGAGACGCTGCTGCCACTCATCTGCGATAAAATGCGCAGTTACGGTGAAATAAGATCCAGTGGTGATGAGTGTCCACTCAGCACGTTACAGCTGCCCTACCCGTTTTCTTTAGTGATGTCAGTAAAATATCTTCGAGGCGGGACGTGTGTAGCATAGCGCGAAAGCCCTGTTTCCCAAGGTGGTTTGATTTTTGTGGAAAGGACAAAATGTCTCTTCTTAACATTTGGGTCGTGACTCCTGACCTGACCTGGCTTTTAATGCAGAGGGTGCTGGTCAGATTTCTCGCTCATCCATGTGTGTTTTTGTTATGTGCACCTCACAGAGTGTCCGGACGCTGCACTTCCGAGTTCCGCCAACATTGCGTTATAAATTAAATATTTAGAAAATCGATTTTTGGCGTTTGTGGATCGATTCAGAATCGTTCACGTCCGCATCGCGATGCATCTAAGAATCTATTTTTTCCTCTGGTAAACATCCTGTCTCTGCTCTCAGCGCTGTACTGAGTTTTTTCACAGATTTTTTTTTACATTTAAATGATCATTTTCTCATGAATGGAGGATTTTTAGTCTGAAATGGAAACGTAAAGGTTTCCAAACGTGTGAATAGTTAAAAAATTGATCAGATATGAATTGTTATTGTAAAAGTAACGATCAAGAGTGTTTTTACTGAACTGGACAATCTGCTTTTATCTACAGTGAATCTGCTGGACTCACTACTGAGTCTCTAAACTCAGTCACTTTTAGTCTCTGAGCACACTCAGTCTGGAACAGTTTTAGTCTTTAGTTTAACTTTTTCTTTCTCTTTTTTATTTACTTCTCTTTATTATATTACATGGGTTTTCACTTTTTTCTTCCCAATAATCTTATTTTATGTGATTTTGTTTTATCTCAACTCTATGACTGTTTTTTATTACCTTTTATAATCCTTTCAGTTGACTGTCTTAAATTTTAGTTTAGCCTATTTATCCTTTTATGTTGAAATCTTATTAACTGATTATTATCTTGGTTTTATTGTAGTTTTCTCCGTCTTAATTAAATCCGAATTGTTCTCTTTATTCTTTTGTCTTTTATCTTATTTCACATATCTGATTTTACTGTTAGTTTGTTTATGCAGTTCTGTTCATTTTAGTTTAACCTGATTAAATTTCATTTTAAATTCTCTTTTACTCCCTTTAAATGTTGTAAAAGCTCAGCTGCATTAAAATTGAGAGTCACTCTCAATGTATTACTCTGTGAAAATAAAGGCTGACTGATTGAAATCAACACTCTAGTGAAAGTCATGGGAAGATGAGTCAGACAGTTTCAGACAGTTTCAGAGACTCTCTGCACTTCATAGAGCTCCTCTAAGTCGATCCATGATTCACACATTTATACTTAATTTAATTCAAATCAATAATATCAGTTAATTTAATTTTTTTAATTTTTTAATTTTACAATGAAGACTGTACAGAAATGTGGATTCTGGATTAATAATTCTGTTCATCGATACTGTTCTATTCAGCTGTAATCAATAAGCTCCTGTCAGCCTCTCACACACTGAGAGCAGCGCTTCATCTCTCAGCTCCACACTGGATCCTCAGGAGAGCTGATGAGCTGCTGGAGCCTCTGCAGATCCACATGACTGCGTCCATCTCGGAGCCCCGGAGACAGAACTCGTCTACGGTTCACTACTCACCCGAGAACAAGACGATGCGGACAACATAGAACCAGCAGGGGCAGAACTCCAAACAGAGAGACAGGAACTTTTACTGTGTCACTTTTATTATTCTTTTTATTTATTATCAAACTTTATTTCTCAGCTACTACAAAGTTACTGTTCTACATCCTATATTCCTTTATTTATTCCATTAACTATGTTTTTTATCCCTTATTTTGCAATTTTAATGGTTTATTGGCTTTTTTACTATTACATTTTCTATTATTATTATTATTATTTTTTTTATCATTTGATACATTTATCATGTTTTTACAATTCTAACTTTTTCAATCCCTGTCTTCTGTATCAGCTCGGCTACACTGTAAATGAGAGTCTCCCTTAATGTACTTAAATAAAGTTAAATAAAGGTTGATTGATTGATTGATTTCTTGATTGATTGACTGATTGAACACGGTGCTTCATCTGCAGCTCGAGAATTTAAAGTGAAAGCATTTTCACTGTGCTGTGTGGGAGTTTAGCATAAAATAGTTTTTAATTTTGCTCAAATCCAGTTGAAAGTGTGTTTCTTTTTCCTTTTTTAGAAGTTTGTTCTCCAGTCCAGTTTTCCTACCTGTGATAAGAGCTTGTCCAGCTTATCAGTGACCAAACAAACGAGAGTGTTTACTGGGTTAACAGAGCTAAATCTGCAGCCTCCTTTAACCGAGTCTCACTCTTTTACAGATAGACAGTGTTCGGAGGCGTCTGCGGTTACAGAACGTGTTCCTGTCAATAGCGTTTCCCAAACAGCTTCAGGCGGAGACAGAAAGTGGGCAATTACCCACCACTTACAACCTCCGCTGTGTCGACCTTTAAGAGCAGAAAAGCTCTGGGGAGAAAGTCACTCAGACGCTCGTCACTTCTGTTCTACTCTTGAGTTTCGAACAGCATCAACAATGACAGTCGTAAACAGCATTTTTACAATAAAAGGAATGCGGCCTAAATAAACATATATATATATAATAAAAAAGAAAAGATAATAAAATACAGAGTGTGGACGGGTTGGATCTTGAAGACTGTCTTCGTACCTTCTGATGGGCTCCGTGTGGACCAGCGCTGCGTCCGTCATCACCTTCATCCAAGACTCCATCTCTTTGGCCGTGTCAGTGCAGAAGTAGTACGTCCGCATGTTTGGATGTGTAGCCTGAAGAGGAAGTTGGGACAAAAAAGGCAGCCTGAAAAAAGAAAAAAAATGAAAATAAGACCCATAGAGAAAAAATATGGACATGTATTTCATATATTTGAAATACGTCTCAAACACTCGACAGTTGATTCTGAAATACATTCACAACACTAAAACATATTTCGGAATATATTACCATATGAACCAAATATGCTTTAAAATACATTTATATTACAGAAATACAGAAATATTACACACAGAAATGTTCCATACAAAAATAAACGTCTGTAAATGTGTTTATCAAATCCATCTGAAAATGTATGAAAACATCCAGAATCCTGTCTGTTGTTTCTACATGTGACTGTTCGCCGACAGTAATAGCACATTTTTCTTATCAGAGCCGTGTGAGATCTTTCTTACCCACTGATATACGGCTCTACAGCGAGTCTCCTCACTGCAGAGACGGCACTGATCTCCTGCTGTCTGAACTGAGCTGAACCTCATCACTGTATCTCCTCTCCTGTTAATACTCACTGTTCAATATATCATAACCTGCTGCTGTAATGACTCTCACTGCGCACTTTACACTGTAATACTGCTGATACTCCAAGTCGTGTTTATACTCATTGTGCTTTTAGTTTACCTCATACCACTCAGTGCCTGCTCTCATTTAAATACAACAAACCTGTCTTATATGCCATGTAAATATGCAAAAAGATACACTTTTATTTCTACTCTTATACTTATGTCTATTTCTATTATTTATTTAATGTATATATATTATGCATTTTTGGTATTTTATGTACGTTTATGTGAAATTATATGTCTTGCTACTGAAACACTGCAATTTCCCTTCAGGATCAATAAAGTTCTATCTATCTCTCTATCTATCTATCTCTCTCTCTATCTTTTAATAAACACTGATAGCATAGACTCACGTCCTCTGCCTGAGCTGCTGACAGTGTTCATTTCTAAATCTACAAAACTCCCTCCTGTGATATTTTGCTAAACTAAAATAAACAAATCCCAACTAAAAACAAAAAAGAAACGCTCGGCTTTGTCGGCGACACCACGTCACTTTTCTCTGAAGTGGATTTATTGAGCTAGAATCACACAAAATATAGTCCTGTGACTTTTTACACTCACAAAAACGAAAACTTCGCCTGAAAATCAACCGATTCGGAAACATTGCTCAGATTTCCTGGTGACGTATCTGCTTCTGTTCACTCGTGAGCTCCACCTGCAGGAATCAGTCCAGCATTTTGGCTCTGATGTGTGTTCACACTTAACGCTTCCTCGTTTAATCACCGTTAAATCAAATATTGCTAACTTACACTCTTAGCAAAAAGTATAGTGCCAATAAAGTTCTTTGGCTCATTGGATTGGGTACTGGAACCCTTTTTGGTGCTATATAGAACACTTTTCCAAAAGGTTCTATATAGAACCATCTATAGCACATTCTCCATCAATTTGAAGAACCATTTCTTGACGAAAGAACTCTTTAATCATGTAAAGGGTTCTTTGAGTGTTCATGACTCTATATAGAACCATTTTCTTTACTACAGAACCCTTTAAGAACCATCTTTTTAAGAGTGTATAATACTGACAGAAATCACTCGTTGGTTTCATATTAAAAAAGATAAATTTACACTCCAAACACTAAGCAGGCAGAAACGCCCCCTTTACATTAGTGGTCATTTAGTCCTGAATGACCGTGATGATGTGATGATGTGCATTTTCAGAACTCACCGTGTGAGTCGGGGCTTTCAGCGAACACTGCGGTGTTCCAGCTCACACAGTCTCAGGAGAACCAATCAAACATCAAGAGAGCAGCAAGAAGAGAAGAGCAGCACTGAATGAGTCCAGACAAAACACACTCACAGCAGAATAAACAGAATAAACAGGGAGAACAGGAAATCAGGAAAACAGGATTCCACAGAGGCTGAAGATTCTTTTATAACAGACAACAGTGCAAAGTGAAGCCACGAGATGGAGGGAGCAGTCGATTACACTGAGAACACAAACAGATCAACAATCAGACTCTGTCCTGAACGTTTCTCTGAGATGTGCTGTGGACGGTGTGAGTTCTGGGAATTTGAGCCGTAATGACGAGATTAATGGTCTCAATGTCCTCATTTACAAACAGCACATTAACTGGATTCCAGTGGAGGAGAGCGCGACACTAACTGACACTAACTGAACACAGACTGACACAGACTGAACACAGACTGACACAGACTGACACTAACTGATCACAGACTGATCACAGACTGACACTAACTGATCACAGACTGACATAGACTGAACACAGACTGACACAGACTGACACTAACTGATCACAGACTGACACAGACTGACACTAACTGATCACAGACTGACAGACTGACACTAACTGATCACAGACTGACACAGACTGACACTAACTGAACACAGACTGAACACAGACTGACACTAACTGATCACAGACTGACACGAACTGATCACAGACAGACATAGACTGAACACAGACTGACACAGACTGACACTAACTGATCAAAGACTGACACAGACTGACACTAACTGATCACAGACTGAACACAGACTGACACAGACTGACACTAACTGATCAAAGACTGACACAGACTGACACTAACTGATCACAGACTGAACACAGACTGACACAGACTGACACTAACTGAACACAGACTGACACAGACTGACACTAACTGATCACAGACTGACACTAACTGATCACAGACTGACAGACTGAACACAGACTGACACAGACTGAACACAGACTGACACAGACTGACACTAACTGAACACAGACTGACACTGATGTTATTTCTAAAGCTTTGCCTTGTTCTTATAGCAACATCACCTGTTAATGTTCACAGCAGTCAGATGATTCTCAAGATAGACAGATAGATATAGATAGATAGATAGACAGATAGACAGACAGATAGATAGACAGAAAGACAGTCCAGATGTGCAGAGAGATAAAATAAACCTGTGATTAAACAGACGATTCATGATATAAAACTGTTTATATACCACAAGTCACTTTTAACCTTGTGTTTTTATCTGAGCTGTACAGAATTCACTCCTGTATTATTTTAAAGTGTAATATATCAGCATTTAGATGCGGATAAACAGTTCACAGTGAGCGCTAACTAAGCTAAAGTACTGCCCCCACAAGGGGGAGTTAGTTCAACACACTGACACAGTAAGACCCCCAAAGTACACAATCAGAATTTTTATTGTGCTGATTTTCGCTGTTCTACTGTATGGTCTAAAATAAATTTGCTACATTCGCCTCCTTTCACTAAATGTATATTCATTTTATTGTGTGTCTGTTAAATTTACTCAGTTGTGCTGTGACTGTTTGTTATAACAGTCATAACCAGCTCAGCCAAGCCAGTAAAATGTTTATTTATTTTGAATAAACAGTTTAAAACTTATTTAATAATATATTAATCAATGTATTGGATTGTATTGTTTTGACTTTATTGGTTGCACATTCTCCATCAGTCTGAAGAACGATGTAAAGATAAAGGGTTCTCTGAGTGTTAATGGTTCTTTACTAAAGAACCCTTGAAGAACCCTCTGTTTTAAGAAGGTTAGTTTTAACATTTGTACTTGTGTTGCTTTTAGCTGAATTGTTTAACAGCTGTAAACACAGAGTGTGTCTTCATTAACAGAGACGTTCAGGCGGCCGGTATAAAACTAATCCTCCTAAATCTGAACTGCATTAGTCTGTGTTCTGCTCTCCTCTACAGCGCAGAGAAAGACTAGAGCACAGAATTACTAATCTAATCTAAACGGCCCTGTCGCTCATCCAAAACTTCCAACAGCTCATAATCCTTCACACACTTTTAACAGTAATCTGTAGTCTGTAATCTGTAATCGGTGGCGACTCTTTCAGGGCAGAAAGCCGAGCTGAACGTCAGACTCAGACCTTGAAGGCATATTTCTTGCTTATGTGGTCGTCCACAGACAGCATGGAGATGTGGAAGCTGGGCAGAAGGATGCTCCCAAGGATTCCCTCTTCTTTTTCAT